CCATGGGCAGAGAGACTTTGTCTATCTTGTTTATCATTGTTTCCAAAATGCTATAACATTAGGAGGTAGTCAATAAATGTTTGTTAAATGAACAGAAGAATGAATGGAAGTAACTGCATCAGAAAGTGTCTATTCAGGACAACAAACTTTGTTATCTAATTCAAAGAGGAACTGAACACAGGGAATTGATAACGAAAGTATTCAAAGGGCTGAAAGGCCATAGGGGAGAAAGAATAGGGTTGTAGTAGCAAAAGGGAGAAAGGAGTTACTATCCAAATATCATGAAGGTGCTACTCCCTCTACATTAGAGCCCCCAAGCACACACGATGTGCGGCTGATGGGGCGGGGGGGGCGGAGCGCCAGTACTGCAATTAGAACTACACCATTGCTGTTGAGCAGGAGCTTGTATTATTTCCTTAATTTACTTTAGTTTATTTTGAAATCTTAAGTTATAGTTTTCAGCTGGTTTCATGGGCATGTCTTTCTGGAATGTTTTCATATCATTAGGGAGATTATTCTCCGTATTTTCATTTTTTTAATAATAACTTCATTATGAGGTTTGATTGCAGTCCTTTCTGCTGCTCATTTTTATATGAAATTAGTTTTCCTGCACGTTTAGGAAGGAGGGGTGAGTTAGGACAGCTTTGCTAAATTCGAGACTCTACAGCTTCTTTTTCTGTTTTCATGAAGTGTTCAAAAATATGGCTTCAAGCTTTCTGAGATCTCCTGGCTCTGTGCCCTTCCCCCACTTTCATCTGACTTCCCTTTTCTTTGCCCCAAATATCCCTGGCCTACTCTATCTGTATTCTATTCCCTGCGGTTTCTACTCTGGTGTCCTGGAAGGATACTTTGGCTGGTTTTCAGAGTCCAACTTCTTCAGACCGTACTTCGGACCCCTTGCACTCATCAGCTGCAAACAGGGTTGTACAAAACTGCCCCCAAATCCAGCTGCTTTTCTCCTATTGGTCCACTGTACTTTCTACGGAGTACCTCTTGGCTATTTTGGGGTTCTCTTCTTTTAAGATTTCTCAGACACCCAGCTGCTTCCTTTGCTTCTTTCCACAAAAGTGCTGATATCATGCAAGTCTTTGAGTGGCTAGTGGTTTCCACCTGCTTGAATTTTGGGGTTTGTGGTGATATCTTGTCACCCAAGTTTGATGTAGATGTTGTCCACATGTTTTTGGTTTTGCTATCCCAGATGCTCTATTTTTATGGAGGAATTTGGGGAGATTAAAAAATGCCACTGCCATCTTTCCAGAACTCTTTTCTCTTAAATCTTTTTTTTTTTTTTTCTTTTTTAAGTAGGCTCCATGCCCACTGTGTAGCCCAGGAGGGGCTTGAACTCATGACCATAAGATCAAGACCTGAGCTGAGAGCAAGAATCAGATGCTTAAATGATCGAGCCACCCAGGTGCCCCTTAAATCTTTATATGCCAACCAGTGAAATCAAACTGACAATGGAAAAACCACCATCCATTAACTTTTCTAAAAGCAGGCGTTCCAAGATGTAATAGTTATCTATCTAAAACCCATTCTGGTTTCATTCAGGGTGGCAGTGTGCCCAGCTAAAGAGCATTTCCCAGCCTCCCTTGCAGCTAGGGATGACCATGTGGTATAGTTCTGACCAATAAGATAGAAGCATAAGACATTAGATGGGGTTTGGGAGAAAGCACATTAAAAGCCAGGTCAATTCAACTGGTCAACCCCTTTTGCCCTTTCTCTTCTTCCTGCCTGTCAAAAGTGGAACTGAGGAGACCTGAGCTGCCAGGTGTCTGAGTAGTGAACCTGAAAAATTACAGTCAAGTCTTTAATCAGTTACTGTGATGTTATAAGCAAGATACTAAATAGGAGAAAGCACTGTCCCCACTAATGTTCCATTTTTCCCCTTGGCACAGTGCCAGGCAAGGGTCACGTGCGCTGGTGCAGATGTAGGCACAGCCTTACTGCCAAAGGATCCCTAAACAAAAATCTCCTGCCATTTTATAGCTCAGGAGGCTAGGAGGAGGAAGAGGGGAGGGGCTATGGGTGGAAGAGTACCGAATACTGGGTCAGAGTGGAAAAGACATCTTCAAGGACCCCCAGTAGGTTGGTCTCAGCAAAGGCACCTGAGACAGGCCTTGGCTAGGCCCTCACCCCTTAGCTCCATTAGGAGGCCTCCAAAAGAAGGAAGCTGGACTAGAAATGTAGACTTGCCTAAGAACAAAGCTGGGGTGATGGTAAGGTGGGGCCAAAGCCCCTGACCACAACCCCCGCCCTCCAGAGGGCACAGTGCTCAGGCTGTGCACCTAGGCTGGTGTTCGTGGGCAGTGCTCCCGGGAGGCCTGTCAGGAGGTAAAGACCTTGAGGTACACAGCCGCTAACTGCCCACGATCAGGCCTGAAAGATAACACATAGTATTCTGGCTTGGAGCCAACTCTTCATTGCCTACACTTTGCTGGAAAACAGCATACATCTTGGGATCAGATGATGGCAAATTCATGCTAAGGACAGCTGAGTGGAAGAAAAATAAAAAAGTCAAAATCCTTAATGGTATCATGGAGCAGCTGTATTAACCTGGGCGGGGCTATGTCTAAACTTCTATTTCCACGAGAAAGGTAAAACTGCTCATTTGTTTAAGCTATTGCTTTTTAGGGTTCTTTTATAGCTCAATACAATTCATAAGTGCTTCATGGGGGTCCCAAGAGCAGGGACTCCCAAAAGGCGGTGCTGGTTGGTTCATGAAATTTTCACCGGTCCTTGGTAGGTGAGAAAAAATGAACAGAGTAGTCAGCTTTCCAGAAAGCTAAATTTATTCAAGTTTTTAGTACTGACATTATGTCCTTCCAGATTGATATTATAATGGCCTCTCTTTTTATAAGATGCCGGTACTAATTTATGATGCTGGTTGTGTCTAAAATCCTTACTTAAAAATTAAATCCTGACCACTGTATTAAAGAATCTCTAAACATTTTTGGGGAAAACTTTACCAGTCACACCACACAAGTACTCAGTAGTAACTAAATTCCCCCTCAAACATGGATATTTATATGTGCTTGGGAAAAACTCATTGCTTTCCTTCACTTTAACACTTACACCACTTCTGTAACCAGATATGTGGATCTTCCACACCAAGCAATTCTGACACTAACTGCCTGGAGGTAGAGCAGAACCCAGAGGGTAAGGGCACAGTCCCCCAAGACTGCCCCCTGCTTCAGATGCCAATTGCAAGTAGTGGGTCCCCAGGTTACCCATGATTTCTGTCCAACTTGGCTACAAATTAGAGGCTCCCAAGGCCCCTTCCCTGGGTTTGAAAATTTGTTTCCAGAACCCAGGAAAAGTTTACTCACTATTGCTGATTTATTACAAATGATGTTTTAAAGGATATAAATGAACAGCCAGGTTGAGAGATACATGGGGCAAGGTCTGGAAGGGTCCCAGGTGCAGGAGCTTCTGTTTCTCTTGGAGTTGGGGATGCACCACCCTCCTGGCAGGTGGATGTATTTACCAACCTGGAAGCTCTCCAAACCCTGTTCTTTTGGGATTTTTATGGAGGCTTCATCATATAGGCCTGATTGATTATTACCTCCATTTCCAGTCCCTCACCTGTCTCCAAAGAATGGGGAGTGGGGCTGAAAGTTCCAAGCTTCTAATCATGGCTTGGTCTTCCTGGTGACCAGCCCCATCCAGAGGCCCCCAAGAGTCACCTCATTAGAAAAAAGGAAAAAAAAAAGCTCCACTACCCAGGAAATTGGGAGCTATGTCAGACACTCTTATCACCCAGGAAATAGCAAGGCTCTTAGCAGCTCTGTAAGAAACTGTAGCAGAGGTTTATATTTATATATATATATTTATATATTTATATATATATTTATATATTTATCATTTCATAGTATCCTTCTCTTCTTTATTGGAGAAAAATCCTGCCACTTTTAGTGAGACACAGGAAGGGGAGGTTGCAGACAGCCTGTACCAGGCATTCACAGGACCCACATGTGTAAGAATCACTGCCTTGGGCAGCAGGAGTTAAGTATTAACGAAAGAGCACCAGGGTACCAGCTCAGAGGGTGTCTGGAAGGTATAGATACCAAGTTTTCTGAAGAGTCCTTGAAGACAAAAGAAACACTTAGCTGGAGCTGGAGAAGACTCAGGGGGTGCAGAACAGCTGTTTTCAAACATCTGAAGTCAACAAAGGGAAGAAAGATCAGACTAGATCTGAGAGGCCCAGGGGTAGAGCTCAGACCAAGCAGTGAAAGCTATAGAGGTGTGCACACAAGGACTTGTCCCAGGAGGAGACGGCAGCCTTGGAGAGGCTGAGGCCAGCAACCCCCCAGCAGTGATTGTGTGATTGGAGGATTCCCGGGATCAGGGACCTGGTCTGTTCTGTTCACTGCCCCAGCCCCACCACCTAGAATGCTGACCAGCACTTAGTAGGTGCACAACCTATATTTGTTAAGTAAATTAATGGAGGGGAGGATACTCTGCGTTTGATGGGAGGTTTGCCAACTTGACCTTAAGCTCAGGGCAGCCTGAATTTGTGTGCCTCTTCCTTTTTCGGTGTGATCAGCCTTCTAAGTCCACGTGTGCCTTGCTGTCTCAGAAATACACTGGAAATTCCCAGCCTGAAGAGGACAACACAAACAGTAGGGGATCAGCAATCCTGACCTGGCAGAAGCTCAGCCTCCCAGATGGCACGCATTTTGAATAAAAAATATAACAAAGTATCTCTGAGGCGCCACTGGTTTCTCCTTTTAATGCACTCTAGCCAGGAGTCAGGCCATGTTGAAGAGGCACTCAAAGTGCCCTAAAAAAAGTTTCTAAAATCTGTGTCAAAAGTTTGTAAGTGAGCATGTTCTTCCAACCCTCTGTTCCATACTTACAGTAGGAAAAATTCCGATGTCCATTTTAACCCCCACACCCCAACAGCTATGGCATTAAGTAAATCAAGATTCACAACAGCTTCCAGCATGCTAAAGATAAAACATCAAGGAGGAACTCGAGGTCAAAGTCATGAAATGCAGACAGACATTCTATGAGGTATTTATTTTGCAACAATTAGGTTCGGTTGCCCAGTGTCAAGTCACCACAGACAAATGTTCAGGCTCTCAATGAATCCAAACCAAAGTTCACACAGTTTTGCCAGTTTAGGATGGCAAGCATTTGGAGAGAAGAGTATCACCTCAGAGGAACATCTGTATACAATTCAGAAGAAAGTCATCAGATGTTAGGATGGATCCATTCCACATATTAAGGGCATCACAGGACAACAAGAGGCAAATGGCAGGCACACCTACCACGTTCCCTTGTATTTTGTTCCAAATCAGTGTACAGTTCCAACAATAACTGACAGGTAAGAAAGAAGAGCTGAAAGACACATGGACTGAACAACATTTAATTATTTTTTGTTAAATTAGGTGATTAGACTTCAGGGCGGCACCTTTAGCTGCCAGAGGGTGGAGCCATTCCATCAGTTTTCCTGCTGGCTTGGTCATTCTGCTTTCCTGCAGTAGATGCCATGTCCAAAAGAACCACTCCAAAATACAGAAAAGAGAACTGAAAAACAAAAAGAGTAACTTTTAAGAAAAAGACTCGCCCCCCCATTCAGAAAGGATCTAAACTGCAGGACAGGGAATTTGTTTATGTTTAGAGGTATAGCTTCAATACCAGACAACATTGAGCCCTGATTTACCAACTCCAGGAAGACTTATTATTGGAGGGGAGATGACATTTTAAAAAGTTTTCCTCTATTTCTTTGGAAACCTAGTGATTTTTCTCTGCCAGATCCCAAAGTTATCTTCACCCATCCTTCTTTCTCTCTCTTTTTTGTGACAGCTATGTTAGGTGCTAGAGGAGAAATAAAGTAAATATGGAGGGACATAAAAAGATTTGAGAACTGGAGAGCTGTTTGTGGTTGTTAAAACACGAGGTTATGCAGGGGACAATGGCAGGATATGAGGTAGGACAAACATATTAGGGATCGATCCTGGCAATCCAGGGAGTTTAGATTTTGTCTTTTAGACAACTGGAGGCCAAAAAAAGAGAAAAAGAAAGAAGGAAAAGAAAGTTCTTAAGTAGAGGAGTGACACAGTTTTATAATTTTTTGAAAACTGCTTTGGCTACACATAGGATGGACTGGAAGAAGGAAAAGAAAAGAGAGAGAAACCTATCAAGTTATTATCACAGTCTGAATGTGAGATGATTGGATCCTGAACACCAGGAACATCAGGCATCTGTACTAATAGGACAGATCTGAGAAATATTTCAGGGCTAGAACAGACAAGTCGTACTGCTAGATAAGATATGGAAAGTAAGAAGGAGGATTCTACATTGATGATGAGGTTTCTAGGGTGACCGGGTAGATTTCTTAATTAATCCAACAAATAGTGATTAAGGACTCATCCAACAGATGTGCTGGGCACTGGGTTCAGATGAATAAGGCACCCATGGTCCCAACTTTCAAGAAATTACACAGTCTGGCCCTGGAAACTCCAGGGTAAACAAATACATAACATATTACTTATGTAATTATAAATGTGAGGTACTCTGAGACAGTATAATACAGAATCTAACCTAGTGTGAAGTCAGAGGCAGTGTGGATGGTAGTGCCATTCACGGAAACAGGAAAATATAAGGAGGACCTGGTTGTGGGGGAGATGAGTTTAGTTTTGGATATAATGAATTTGAATCATCTGTTGGTACACCTAGTTGGGGATTTGCAATAGATGGGGAATTTGGAAAAAGGTGCTAGAGATATAGTTAAATCCAGGGCGGGGATTAAGAAATTTCACAGAGAGGCCATTTCCTAATAAATGGCCTCCAACCTAAGAGAATGTGCCAAGCTTCCTACTACCACAGGGGGTAGGATCACAAATAGGAAGGTGGGCCGGGGAGTCTGAGTGGCTTAGTTGGTTAAGCGACTGCCTTCGGCTCAGGTCATGATCCTGGAGTCCCGGGATCGAGTCCCACATCGGGCTCCCTGCTCAGCGGGAAGGCTGCTTCTCCCTCTGACCCTCCCCCTCTCATGCTCTCTCTATCTCATTCTCTCTCTCAAATAAATAAAAAAAAAAAACAAATAGGAAGGTGGGGCTAAGGCAGGGGTATCTACCTCAATGTCCCAGCTCTAGAAAAGGGAAATGTTGCCAACAACATATCTGTGAACAGTGGTTGGAGAAGCATGAGTGCTGTGATTTGCTGGACTGGAAGAACTTGAAGTCCTGCTTGGCCTTATGGTAAACATTAGCTCGGGCTTCTGAAATGCTAAATAAAGGTAGGGACAAATGAGCCCACAGGGCAGGCACTAAAGATTTTATTTTCATAAACACGCTCTTTTTCTCTCATCTCTCTGTCTGTTCCAAATTAATGTCAAGACTAGAGGAGGGATTCAAGACAGAAAATTTCCCTTGCCCTGCTGCCAAGTTTCAGTAGGTAGCTTGTAATTCCCAGGGGAATTCCTGGGGCTTAGGCCACAGGGTGGCAAGTAAGATAATTGCCCTTTATGCCAGACTTGGTCCATAACGCCACCATCAGCCAGAGCTCCCTCACCTCTTCCCCACCTGTGACCCGATTCCTGGCCACTTCGGGCTCCCCACCTCGGGTGGCCCCACCGTGACCCAGGCCTGCCCTGCACCTCCTTTGTGGTGGCAACCCTGCACCCAAGCCTGATTGGGGGTGTTCCAATCCGAAGTTCCCCAAGTTAGGATTCTCTTTTTAATTTAGCAGGGCCTTCTAGTCTGATGCCTGAGATAGAAAATTGGGTGTAAAATCTGGGAGGGTAAGGACCTATCTCCATTGTTCACCCCAGTCACCCAGCCAATGGTAGCCAAGGGTAGGCCCTCAATGAATGAACAAGTAAAAACTGCTCAGGTCACCTGGCAAATGAACCGAGCATGTGTGCATGTGACGTGTCTATCAACTGTCACTTGTTCAAAATCAAGCTTTCCCCAAAGCCTGCTGGATGCTGCAGGTATAATGGTCACTAAATCTCTACTCTCTAGGAATTCTCAGTCCATGTCACAGTGAATAAGAGATTTGCCCTAATAGAGGAACATACAGAGCTGTAGGAGAGCATAGAGGAGTAAGGAATCTAAACTTCCCCAAACACAGGCTATCTGAAGTGGGTCCTGAAGAATAAAGAGTGGGCTTCCAAGTAGACAAGCTAGGAAAGGGAATTCCAGAACTTAAAAACCTTAAAAAAAAAAAAAAGCCTTAAAAGGTTTTAAAGCAGTGTTTCCAGTAATTAATGGGAGTGCTGTTACTGTTATTATTGGACTGTTGCGAGTGCCCGGATAAAACAATTAAGTACTAATGTGATGGTCCAATTCTATCACTCTTGGTATTGTTGAAAAGTGGGATCCTCAGCAGGTGGGAAAGGAGATACAGATATAAGATAAAAGCAATTTAGAAAAAACTCTGTGGTGCTAAATAAGAATTGAAAGTATGAGTATGAACTCACAATGTATCTCCTTTAAAAAATTAATCAAGATGGGGCGCCTGGGTGGCTCAGTCGGCTGAGCATCTGCTGAGCGTCTGCCTTCGGCTCAGGTCATGGTCCCGGGGTCCTGGGATCGAGCCCCGCATCGGGCTCCCTGCTCCGCGGGGAGCCTGCTTCTCCCTCTCCCTCTGCTGCTTCCCCCACTCGTGCACTCTCTTGCTCTCTCTCTCTCAAATCAATAAATAAAATCTTAAAAAAAAAACAACAATCAAGCACACAACACATTTCCTGACTCTGAACAGTGAAAAGGCCTGTAAACAACAACCAAGCCAATGGCAATAAGCACCACTAGCACCCAGATTGTGACCTGGTATTACTATCTCCCCACTGAACAGAACCAAGACTCCGAGAAATGATTCAGTCTGGGTCTGAGACAGGAAATGTTCAAAATGAGCCTGGAAAAGCCTGGAAAATTTTGTTGTAACAGATAACAAGACAGTTATCAGAGACTCTTAGGGCCATGCCAACAGGACTCGAGCCAATCTGAAGAGGTTCCCATTAGCCAAAGGGACAACTTGAGTATTGGTAAGCATAATACTTGGGATGGACTGAAACTAACTGGCCATTACTGTCGAGTGCTAGTGAACCAACTACTATTTTGAAAATAGGTGAAAAAAAAAAAAAAGGAAAAGAATCATTTATCCTGCCTTTCTACAGAAACTATGTCACTGGAGAGCCAAATAGTAGATAAAGGGAAGTTTTTATGAAAGAAGTATTCTAATTAATAAACAAAGAAGCAAAGATAGAACTGAAATATCGCCATTTTGAAAACCCTAATGATTTAACAGATGTAGGCATTGCTTAATTACTTTTAATATCAAAAAGTAAGAGGTAATTACACAGCATGAGTTTATGGCTGAAAGCATTTAACACCACATATCAAGTAGTCTTGCCAAAACCAACCAACCAACCAATGCTGAATCTGATCAACCCTTTAGATACAACCACCAGTTTACAGAAAACAAAGGCAGAGCAACATGATCAACAACACCATAGAAATACAATCAGCAAAATCCAGACAGCGAGAAGCTATAGGATAAACAATTCTTAAGCAAATACATGGTAAAGGAAAGGGGGGGATGGAGTGGGAATCTATCATTTAAAACACATTTAAGAGACACAGCAACAAACTGCAAGATGAAATTCAAACACTGAAGTATATACGATGCCTCAGAGAGATGGTGGAGACATTCCAGACCACAGCGATAAAGTGGATACCACAATAAAGTGAATCAAATGAACTTCTTGGTTTGCCAGGGCATATAAAAGTTATGTTCACACTATACTGTAGTCTACTAAGTGTGCAATAGCATTATGTCTAAAAAATGTACATACTTTTTAAAAAAATATTTTATTTATTTGTCAGAGAGACAGTGCGAGAGAGCATGAATGGGGGGGAGGGGCAGAGGGAGAAGCAGGCTCCCCACTGAGCAGGGAGCCTGATGTGGGGACTCGATCCCAGGACCCTGGGATCATGACCTGAGACGAAGGCATATGCTTAACCAACTGAGCCACCCAGACATCCCAAAATGTACATATTTTAATTAAAAAATCTTTATTGCTAAAAAATGTTAAGCATCATCTGAGCTTCCAGTGAGTCATAATCTTTTTACTGGGGGAGGTCCTGCCTTGATGTCAATGGCTGCCGACAGATCAGGGTGGTGGGTGCTGAAGGCTGGAGTGGCTGCAGCAATTTCTGATAAGACTGCAATGAGGTTTGCCACATGGATTGATTATTTTCACATACAATTGCTCTGTAGGATGCAATGCTATGTGATAGCATTTTACCCACAGCAGAACTTCTTTCAAAATTGGAGTCAATCCTCTCAGATGCTGCTGCTGCTTTATCACTAAGTTTCTGTCATATTGCAAATCCTTTGTTGTCTTTCAACCACCTTCATGGCATCTTCACCAGGAGTAGATTCCATCTCAAGAAACCACCTTCTTTGTTCATCCGTAAGAAGCAACTCCACACCCGCTCAAGTTTTATCCTGAGATGGCGGCCACGCAGTACCCCCTGCAGGCTCCACTTCTAGATCTCTTGTTCCTGCCACCCCATCTG